TGGAACTGGTTGGGTAGCCATAGGAGACATGTAAAGGTGTATTCATGACTCTGTGACTATGTGGGGTATGAAAGGAGAAGAAGGACTTAGATTGAAACCTGCATCTTTTTAAGACACCGCAGGCCTCCCAGTTGTGGCCATGAAGAGATGTTTACTACCTCTGGGATGGTTTAGGATGGTTGGTAGCCAAACAGGGTGAGTTGGGGAAATCCGCCTCTTGTCTGTTCTAAACCAAGTAGAATGTTGTGGGTTCACTTGTCTCCAAGTCCTCGTCTTATAGACATAGGGCTTCCCTGTGTCCATCCCTCCATGCACTCCTACCCCCTGAGCTGTCTCCCTGTGCCTGAGCAGCCCTTCTTTCTCTCTTGCTTGTTCTCTCCAAGGAGTGTATCTACCTCAGGTAAATGCTCAACTAGTATGCCTGTCTACTGCTTGGCTGGAAGCCACAGGTGTGCGTTCAATTCTAGACCTGAAGGGCAGCTTGATGAGCTTGATGTCCTCTGTGACTATGGTTCCGAGCCCACAGGTTCAACTACTCAGTCCCTCTGGGTAGGTGGCTGTGACCAAGCAGTGACTACAACCTTGCCCCTTGTCAGCCCCATTATACACCTGGGAATTCAGATCATACACATAAAGTTATTGGACCACTGTCTGCCAACCCTATACGTGTTCTTGGGCGCACTCTCCACTTCATATAGATACCTAATATTTCAGCCTGTCCACCCATCTATCTACCCATACACCGTGTTTGCCTTCACTGAGCACACCGTACTATATGTGCAGAAGGGTTCATCTTTGTTGTCTGTACTTCCCACGTACCTCTCTATGTCTTTCTCTTCCTCAATGCCACTGTATTGATCACTCACATTTGGTACATTACCTTTTTCTTCACCCAAATCAAAACTTATCTCTATATATCTAACAGTATTCTCTCCCTTATCCTCCTACCCCTGGTAACCAACAAAGAAAATGACCTTCCATAGATAAGCATTTCCTTGACTATTACAATAACGGACTAATACAATATTTGTCCTTTTGTGATTGACTTATTTCACTCAGCATAATGTCCTCCAAGTTCATCTACGTTATGCGGTGTTTTGC